TCACGAATTCTTCTTTTGACCTTGTCCAGGGTTGAGTTTATTCTCCTTGTGTTATGTGTCAAATTCAGCTATTATACTTTTAATTTCTAGTGTTTTTATTATTTTTTTAGAATAATTTGCTTGTACAACAATTTTGTGTTTTGGTTTCCTAATTTCTTGCTCTTCTTTAAAACTAGAAAAAGGGGTTTTTTGTTTGTTTGTTTCATTTCATTTCGTTTCATTTTGTGGTACTGGCTTTCCCACTGAGCTATATCCCTAGTCCTTTTTCTATTTTTTTTTTTTTTTATTTTGAGACATAGTCTCTCTAAGTTGACCATGCTGTGCTTGAATTTGTAATCATCCTGTCTCAGCCTCCCAGAGTGCTAGAGTTACAGATGTATGTCACAGATAGCTTTTTATTCTTTGTAAGTTTTATATAACTTTGTCTTTGTGCAACTTTGATTAAAATAATAAATTCATCTCTCAATTATGAAATCCATTGAATTTCTTAGCATTTGTTTTCCTACTATGTTTTGAAATTATGATTTGCCACTGCAAAGTATCATGTCTTTGAAATAATTTTTCCTCTTTCTAGTACTTTTGGAGATTGCTTTTAATAAGTCTTCTAGTCCCTTCATTCTAATGAGGTGTTATGAATGGGAGTTAGGATCCCCATCCTAATAGGTTTTGAAGTTCAATCCACATCCAGTCATGAAGGCTTGGGAATGCAGGATATATATTCTGGCTATAACACCAAGGCTACCTTGTCTTTTCATGACTAAGGGACGCTTCACTCCTATCCCTTGGTATCAAGCAATGAGTTGTCAGTGTCCCATCTTTGGGATACACTGCTAGAGAAACCAAACTCCAGCCCCCCTCTCCCTGTTTAAAGAACCACGACTCAGTACATCTTATTTATCAATTATGTTTTGTCCATTTTCTAATGCATTGACACATTCATCTTGTTTTTGAACGTGACTTTGTCTTTTTAGATAATAAAAACTGATCTTTCCTCTAACGTTGCTGTATACTTATTCTAGCTAGATGACTTTGCACCATCACGATTAGCAGTCTTCATACTTAGAAGTATTACGTATTACATATAAATTCTATCCAGTGAAATATGTAAGAACCAAAAATGTGTATTATTATTCAAAGAGTGATATTTAAAGGTGATGTTTTTATTCATCTAGAAAACATCAGTCTCAACTCCAAAACTACTTTTATTAATATAGTGATTTAATGCTGTTCACAAGTAAAACACACAACCATGTACACATATATAGATCACTTTCCTATGTAGCAGAAACATCCTGCAATATATTAACTTTATAGCAGCTTTTCTAACCAGGGGGCCTAGGCCTAGAGCCTGTTTTCTTAATCTTTATGTGATATGCCACTACATGATTTATTACTTGCCTTGACTTGATCTTAATCATTACGGTAAGTGTATCCCTAGAAACTCTCTAAAATTCTCATATTCAAAAATATTCTTTCCTAAATATCTCAAGTTCTTTCCCTTGGTGATTTCAATATCTGCGTATCTCTCAAACTTTTCCAAAACCCTAACAATTTTCCAAGATAGAGCTAGCCAGATCATATTACTGCATTTGCATATTTTTCATGATAATTCCCTTACCAGAAAGAGATCCCAAGGCCACCCAACACAGAGCAAAGGATGTGGAATCTCAGTTTGCTCTGAGACCTCAACTCTGTGTAGTCAAACTTACATTGCCTTCTTGGCTCCCCTACTTTTATGACCAAAAGAAGGCAAACTTTTCCACAGATCTGCCTATTTCTCTTCAGCTTTTGCCTCTTTCTGTCCACAAGGTCTCCATGACCTCTATGACCTGACTAAATGTATTCTTTTTATCTCTATCAGAGAATCTTGCTGACTTCCTTTCTTGTATAGCAATAGCTATCGCCTCTGTATTTCTTTTCCAGTCAACTAATATAGTGAGTTTAATAGGAAAAAAGTATTTTATATTTCTTAGAATCAAATCTCACTGCTTATGCAGTCCAATCAGGGAGGTAGACCTTAATAAGAGTAAAATTAATAAAAATAACATTGGATGTTCATGATTTTTCAATTGAACCAATGAGCTAACTCTACTAATCCAAATGACTAGGTGACTGCAAGTACAAACTTGCAAATTTACATTTGTAAATGCAAATTTATATTTGTAGAAGAAAAGCATTTAAAAAGTCTTGCTATTCTTTGAATTTGTTGGACTTTACATCTGTGTTAGGTTTAACTCCGGAAGCCACAAAATTGGAGGAACTGATGAGTTCAAAAGTGAACAGTCAGAATGGGGAGCCACAGTATCACATCTGACAATGTGAAAATATTCGTTGGATACTTATTCATTCTTGCCTAGTGGTAGAAGTAGGAAATAGGTCTTATGGGTGATAATTATAAAGAGACTGGTTTTAATTTGGTTTGATTTAGAGAATACTGTGTTTTCTTTAAAAAGATTTGATCAAAATAAGCTGCTATAATGATACTGTATTTCCCATAAATACAAATATTCAAGAAAATGACAGATTACTATTTAATTTGAATGTTGAAGTAAAGTGAATAGATTATATCAGTAAGAGGAGTCTTGATTCTTTATTCTAACTGTCCTACTGGACAACCTCAAGAAGAAAGAAAGAAAATACATGACTGAACCAAATGACAGAGTTTTTTTGAGCAATTATTTTCCTTTTACCTACAAGATATTGTATGAGGAAAAAAAATAATCACAAGTATGATACTAATCCCCATATAGTTCTAACCCTACACTTTTGGAAAAGATCAGAAATCCATTTGGAAGGTAAGACAATACACTATATATAAGACAGTTAAATGAGAACATAACATTAAATATGAATAAAGAACATAAAGCAGAATATTTAAATATTGGTAAATGGCAAAACAGTAATTTTGGAAGTCAAGAGGGATTAAAGTAGGCTGGGCAAGCAGGGCACATGGAAAAACTAGGACTCCTAATTTGATCTTAAAATGATCAACAAGCTAACAAGCTCCATCAGTGTACCTAAGCTTCAGTAGATTTTACAGACTCTTCCCCCATGATTTTCTCTGTTTTAAAGTAACTTCAGCTGTGTGTGCATGCATATATGTATGTGTGTATATTAATACACAAGCATGTATAAATGTGCACATTTGCATTTATGCATAGGACGATATTTGACAGTAGCTATATGAAAATGAAACTGCCAGCAGAACTTCTAAGCTTCCTTTCAGGAAAACAAGTCTTTGATAATTTTTCCTTTCTTGAGTTGGTTCTATTTCTCTGTGGTGGTATGGTCTTTCAAAACTTTGTACTGCTTTCAACCTTCCACAAATCAAGAAAAATGAACAATAATAACAATAGTAACAAATGAAAAACATCAGAGTAATTCAGCATTGTCCATTACTAGGTCTGTACTCAAAATATAGTTCAAGTGTAGTCCAGTAAAAGGTCAGTGGAGCAAAATTTAAAAGTGACTCAGAACTGATCTATACTTGCGCTAGAAACCTGAAGAAGGGGTGTATACGAGATCCTCAAAATTTACAGTTACTCTTCAACTTGAATGGAATAGAAACACTTAATATTTCCATAGGAATTCCATGGCCATTCCAAATGTCATAAATAGTTATTTGGCTACTATTTTAAAAAAAGAAAAAAGAAGATTCTCTTTCCAAGCTTGGAAACATGCGCATTGTTCCAGGGAACTCAAAAGACACACTTAGCCCAAAGGCATTCTCATAGAATTTTGGAGGTCTATTGTGGCCCAGTGATGGGTATTTAAAAAAATAAAATGAAACAAAGATGTGCTGCTGACTTTGTGAAGGTAGAGAAAGCTCATACTCAGTGAAACCTAAATGTGAAGTTATGCATTCATTTAAATTTGAGGGTATTGTGTATTAACTGTAAAATGAGGACCTTATTCTGGACACTAGATTGGACTTCATATCCCTGAAAAAGAGATTGAATTCCTGACAAATCTGAGACTAAGATTCTTTGTCTGGAAAATTGGCTGGGTAATATCTAGTATATTCTCTCAGGGACATATGGTGAGAATCCAGTGAGATGAGGTATCATATGTGTAAAACTATTCATTGTCTGGGAAGAACTGGGACTATGCATTCTTGTGATTAGAAGTGATGGACAATAGCATCACTAATCATTATTTATCAACAAATATTGCAGTTGGCCTATCATTAACTCCAAGAAAAGTTTGAAAGGATAAGAAAAAATAAACTTTCTGGATAGAAAAATAGAACTTTAAAAAGGAATTCATGCCTGATATGGTTATAAGAAACATCTTGGAACAAGTGATTTGGTTTCTGTCATCTCTCCTCTAGGATTTATATTTAGGGTTTTTAAATTCTCAATCCACTGTGTACAATTTAGAGATTTTCACATTTTCTCCTGCAGCATACTTCACTGGTAGGTTCCCAGAAGGTACCAGCCTGATCTGCTCCTCTTGCTTGCTAAGTGTTAAATCAGTGCTGTGGATCTCTGAGGGTGGAAGGCTCCAGTTCTGCAGAAACCCCCTAATCCTCTGTTTACCACAACAGGAGTCCATTGCCATAGAAATGATAGCTGAGATCCCACATTCAACATCACTGAGTTCACAACAAGGCCTTGTAAGAGGAGAAGCCAAGCTACAAGGAGGAGCAGAATTTATGAGAATAGTAGGGACTCTGTTGACTGGAAAGAAAGGGGAATTGTCCAGATTAAAATTAAAATGCATGAATGAGCTACGTTGTTGGGTATGCTGTAGTTTATTTTCTGTATAATGCTGCCGGACTAAAAGTAGTAATTTAGAATCTTATGTCATGTAATAGTTTGCTTTCAGAAAAGGTCAGCAGTTTCCCTTGATTGCATTTGTTTCTTATTAAAATAAGAAACAAGCAGATTCTAATTAATCATGTTGTGCAATTGATGTTTTCTGGTCAAAGATTTCCCTTTTCATGATGTGTTGTTTTGTTTGTGTGTTTATTGTATGTGTTGTTTCGTTTCTATTAACAGAAGAAAGTGAACCTGAGCAGGATACTAAAGGTATTCTTTTTTTTTTTTAAGTTTTTGTACTGCTTCTTTTAAAGTGCATGGCTCTTTTCAATTGTTTATTTTCACTGACCTTCCAAATAGCTCTAAGTGGCATTATTTTATTAAGAAATAGCAAATGACCTATGGGGAATATGAAGTCACAGCACTTAGCAAAGTGTCAGTAGATGGACTGCTTTGCTATATAAACTGCTTACTGACCATTTACATTTCTTAAGAAAAGACGGAGGCAGTAGAAATGTTTAAATCCGGTGTCCTACACTCTGAAAACACAACCAAGTGAAATGTAGTAAATCAACATATGAATATAAATCCCACAGCAGTTGGAATAAAAAGTTACTCCTTGTAACAGACTTCTTTTTGGATGGGTGGGATTAGAATTTTGGAGAAATGTTAAGATGCCAGCTTAGATTTTTTTATTGTCATTATTTCAACAGGACAGTGTTATGCAATTTCTCCAAGTCAATAAAAATTAAGTTATTTCATTATAATTGCCTACAGACATGTATATGTCCTGAAGTATGTTTAGAAGAAAGCGACTGGAAATCAAAATTTCTGGGAAAATCCCTATTGTGGAACAAGAGTTTTCCATCACCAAAAGTACCTTGCATTCTGAGTAAGCCCCACATTTTACACCCTTTAACCTAATCTTGACGGATACTTTGTGGATAAACTTCACAAATTCTCACATAATACATTTTTTGACGTTAGGGGTTATTTAGACTATTATTCTTTTAAATAGTACTTTCTTAAAATCTCAAATAAAATGCAGGTTGATTGTGCTTTATCCAAAATGCTTGGGATCAAAATGTTTCATATTCCAGAGTTTTTAATATTTTCAAATATTTCCATAAACTTTACTGATTAACCAGCCCTAATTTAAAAATCTCTAAAATCTAAATCTAAATCTAAAATGCTTCAAAATTGAAATTCTCCAAGAGTCATGTCTATGCTGAAAAAGTTTCAGATTTCAAAGCATTTCAGATTTTGGGTTTTAAGGGATGCTCAAGCCAGTATTTGAAATGTCTTCCACTAAATACCAGCTTGCTTGTAACCAAGTTCAGTCACACACGTGTCATCTGGTTCTGTATGAGTTTTGTTAAGTTCTTTTTCCCCCCAACTTGTTCCTATTAGTCTTTAGCTTTTTTAATCATGTCAGAACTTCTTTAAGAGAAGTAGAAAATAATAACAAAAGAAAAGAGTAAGAGAAAATAAAAGGCATGTGAGCTCGTGTTGTCTTTTGAAATAGTTGCTCAGAAACAGAAAGTGATCAGAATCATAAATATTCCTCCAATTATTCTCTTACTAAGAGAGAGAAGTAGTTCCTCTCAGGCCAAACTTCCTGCTAGGGATATTCCTTGAGCTTCCCATTATATCAGTAGGGCAATTTCGAGAGAATGATGGCCTTATCTCCTTAATGCATACTACCCTATAAAATGAAAATCAATAACAAGACATCATATACCTAAAAGTACTTGAAAGATGGAGGTAGGGGAGAGACAGAGACAGAGACTTTGAAATTCCTGACTGCTTAAGCCTAATTTTGAATATAACAGTCTCCACTTGCAGTCACATGTACAAATCTGCCCAAGAGAAACAAAGCCCAAAACTCATGAGTAGATTCCACTAGGAAAACAAACTAGAGATGAATGTATATCATGTGTGTACTTTCCATGCTGCAGAATTGCCTGCCCATGGGCAAATGAGCGCAAAAGAGCTCCCAGTGAATTGAAGAATGATAGATGAGACCATATAGGGCCAGAGGATCTGGATACACTTTTCCTTTAAAGATCCACATCAAAGCATTTTCCAAATGATTAAGTAATTTCATGTGCAGTCTGCTTGTTTCTGTAACAAAACACTAATATACAGTATTTTCATTCATGCAAAAATGTACAAAATAAGGGTATTGGATGCACCTTTTTTTGGACAAGAAACATAAGCTATTATGATTTAAACTGATGACCTAGAATGTGTTTTTAGTTTGTGGCTACTGCTAAAATAATGAGGTTTATAATTGTACTGTGTCCAAGTACATTATTGCATTGTTATCCATGTTATCTGACATTTATTTTTAACTACTGACTTTATTGTTCTCAGTGGTTGTTAAATAGTTTGGAATTCCTTTCTCCGTCCCTTTACCTATCTTATTTACAACTGGGGACAAAGGCGGATGGCTGAGAATATATCAGCTTTTTTGTTGGTTAACTGGGTTGAAAAACAAAGGTTTTTACTGCATCTAATCGACTAACATAATTTCTATTTCCTCATCCTTCTTACCCTCTCTGCAGTCTTTCCTGTCACTCATGGTTGTTGAATGAAGGGGCCCTGACCTGGTGAATTTCCTAGCACCTATCACACATGCAGGATAGCTGGGAGAATGACGGGTGGAAGGATGATGCACACACCACATACAAGTCTCTTCTCCCATTCTTCCCAAATAAGTTATTCATTCATTCATTCATGCATTCATTCAGCAAATATTGACTGAGCACCCACTGTGTACTAAGTAGGAAGAAGTTTGGAGATAGACACAGATACATAGATACATCCATCAGTCTTCATTGATGAATAAAGCAAACCCTATCCTTGTGATGCTTGCATTCCAGGGAGAAGGGCAGTCCAACAAACAATCGACTCAACATGTATGAAATAGTGATAAAGAAATAGTGATAGAGAAAAATAAACAAGGGTAAAGGGAATGAAGACAAGAAAGCATTGTGAGAGTGAGACATTTAAATAGAAACCCCGAAGATATTTGAAACTTCCTTTGAAAATAGAAACCAAAAAGGAAAGGTTGGAGATAACTTTCTGTATGGATAAAAGAGAGTTGAGCCTCTGTTTTATCTTTTGGAGAGAGTGCGAGGGTCAGGAGAGACCAGCTTCCCTGGTCTTTTTACTTCTCTTAACTCACCGCACTTTAACAATGGAACACAGGGTCAGGGAAGGGTGTATCTGCCCCGTTGGAGGAGGAGAACAGCCATTTATCACCACATTCATAAAGCTGTAATGCCAACAGCATTCTTTCATGTACTCCTTTGTTCCCCACTAGAGCCCCCCAGAAACTTCTGAGATGGAGCAGAGAAGAAATTAATTTAACTCCAATGTCAGCACGAACTGGAAATCAGTAACTGACTATGACTTATTTACTATTTCACATGTTTAGCTATGTTGTGCAATATGGACCATCAGAGGTTTTGCAACGAGCCTGGATGCTATTCCAAATAATGTAACATCTACCAAAAGAATAAAAGCTGTAAATTAAGACAAAACAAACCCTCCCCCTATTACTAAATTTCCAAGCATTTAAACTTCCACAAATTAGAATTTTTGCCTTTATAAGTTAAAGCAGAAAAAAAAAATTAGATTTGATTCTTCTCCATTTTTTAAAAATCTGGTCATCTTTAGCCAGAAGGCTCTCATACAAGTTCAAGGGCACAGTCAGTGCTCTTAAAACATTCTTTCCAGTACTTAGGAGATTGAAATGATCCAAGTCCAGATTTCTTCAGGATCTGTCTTGTTTTGGAGTTTCAGAAGCCAAGGCTACCCACGGATGTTCATTGTAGTAGCCTCACACTGAAAACCTCTAATGCTAAATCCTACAAGAGTTATTCCAGTCAAGTGATACACATAAACTGAAATATTTTGTGCCAGCTAGGTCTCCCATTATTATTACCAGAAAACATTAAAAAGAAGAATACCTGGGTACACCCTTGCTAGGATACCAATCAGTTTGTGTTAGTTGTCAAAAGTCCACAACCTGTGAATGTAGCTTGTTGGGAGAACAAAAATCCAAAGAGAACCATACTTTGCATTTGGGTGGTATCTCTCTTAAAGCTCTTTTACCTTACAACAGATTGATCTTCCCCTCCCCATCCCCACTGCTATTTATTTATCTACTGAAGTCATTTACTCTGTCAAGTTTCCTGGATTTGATTGAAATGCGTCTCCATGGTGTTATTTAGTGTGCTGCTGACTCTGTTGCTTTTTTGTAGATTGGTAATTAGACCCCAGGACTTACTTAAAGTCAGGCTCAGTTTTGCTTTTGGGATGGACAGATTCCCCTGCATTTTAAACATTTAATACTATTCTTGGCTTAACAAAAAAAAATTCAACTACTTGTTGGCTGTGAACACATCGCCTTTCTTGCTATTTTGTTCTCCTGCCTTTGGGTCCTGTGTAGCTTTGCTGCCACCACTATGGATTGAACCTAGGGTTTCACCCTGTGCTACATTCTCTTCCCTTCATATTTTATTTTGAGATAGTGTCTCACTAAACTGCCCGGGCTTGGCTTCAACTATCAACTCTCCTGTCTCAGCCACCTCCCAGACTACTGGGATTACAGGCACGTACAACCACACCCCGATGGGGCCAACATTTATATATTCAAAATGTCCCAGATTTCATCACTGAGATCCTTCATATTAAAAGATAAAAGGTCAAGTTAATTCAAGTCTTCAAAAATAATTCAGTTGTCAAACAAATCATATCTTTATCTCCTCATAGCTCTGGGCTTAATCTATGATTGTCCTGCACATCTCTTCTCTAATGTACACTATCCCCCAAACTTTTAGAATCCAAACACCACAATTAACTAGAAGAAATAAGTTTCAAGGGGTAGTGTTCATTGGGCCTTCACACTTTAATACTGTATTCCATGCTTAAGTCTTAGAAAACAATACATAGGAGCATACAATATCACATTTTTAGTGTAATAGGAGCTGACATAGTTTGAAAGAAAAACTAGACTTTAAGTCAGGAGCCAGGAAGTCAGGTTTCCCACCCACCACCTAGTGCTTTGGGAAAGCAAATTATTAACTGGGATTTGGTTGCTTCATTTATAAAACAAAAGGCATCTCTAATCTATCTCCAAAGTATCTTCCAAGTTTAATAACATTGTGATTCTAAGTACCTTCACGTTAATTGTACCTTCTAACCTCAGTCCCACTCTTTAGTTAAAGGTAAAACTTCTCACACCAGAAGATCTTCCTCTTATTTAATCAGTGGGGCTTTAGCCTCAGAAATGACGATAAATTATTCATTTTTCTGCTTATACTTCCTCTAAAATATTCTTTTTTCTTTTTTTGCCCAATATATTGTCTCATTCTATAAAAAAGTATAACCGATTTTGTCTATCTTTCCACTATGATACAGTTGAGGGTATGAAACATTAGTTTTTTCATTAGTTCAATAGAATTCTCTCCTGTGATGCTCCAGGTACTAATACAGCAGTAAGCAAGGGCTGGGGATATAGCTCAGTGGCACAAGTGCCTGCCTGGCAAGTGCAAGGTCCTGCGTTCTATTCCTGGTCTCCCCCCAAAAAAAACAGTAAACAAAGCAGGCAACATATTTGACTTCAGACAATCTAATGAGATAGGCAAATACTAGACAAGTGAAAAGTGATTTTAGATAGCGGCAAAGTCTGCAGAAACAAAATAGTATGATAAAAAAGTGAATGGAAGAAGAGTTATCCCATATGTTGGGCAATTAAGGAGGGCCTTTCTAAGGAAATGTTACTTCAGCAGAGATTCAAATGGTACAGGAAACCTGGGGACGTGTGTGGGAGACTGAGGAATAGCAAAGGTAAGATCTTAAAATGGGAAGAAGTTCATTGTATCTTGGAGTAGTGAGAAGTGGAACATAACACACAAAGGGCTTGAGGCCATGGCACGCCATTTAGTATTATCCTTAAAACAGGGGGAAGGATCCCACAAAGGGAAACATGTTCTTATGTTTATTTTTAAAACACCACTAGAGTGCCATCTTTCTCTCATGACGAGTCACTCACCACTTCTGTCTTCCTAACAGTTTTTGCCAGAATCCTGCGGGCTCCTGAATCCCATAATGTCACCTTTGGCTCCTTTGTGACCCTGCGCTGTACAGCAACAGGCATCCCTGTCCCCACCATCAGCTGGATTGAAAACGGAAACGCTGTGAGTGTTGTGTGTTTGGGGAGTTGTCTGGGGAAGACCTATTAGTGGTGAATTTCAAGGTGGAGCCTGTATTTGTAGGATTATCCTGGTCTCTGTCATTGATACCACTTGTATCATTTCTTTGAGGTTTCCAATATCTGTGTTGTAGGGACCACTGCCATTATACATTCAACTCCAGAAATACGCTTCTTTTCTGAAATCATGGGGAATAGTAGAATATCAAATGATTATAATTTTTTTCCACATGTAAAATAATTTTCATAAAATGCATCAGTGAAAGCTTAGTTGGCTTTTGTGATATGGGATACAATTGCAGATCATTTCTGTTGCCTGTTTTTCCTCTGACTCTTCCTGTGATGGTTGTTACTTAAAGTGTTCCCCCCAAATCTCACTGTATTGAAGGCTTAGTTGCCAGCTATGAGTTTTTGAAGTGATTGGATCATTAGGGTTCTAATTTCATCAGTGGATTAATCACTTATGTGTTCATAATTTGATAGTATTATTGGGAGCAGATGGAAACAGGAGATGAGGCCTAATTGAAGACATCATCAGGTTGTGACCTTGGAGATTACATCTAGTAACTGGTCCCTTTTCTGTGAATCTTTCCCTGTCTCTCTGCTTCCTGGCATCTGTGAAGAGAGCAGGTTTCCTTTGCCTGGCCCTTGTGCCATGATGTTTCTACCTTGCCACAGACCTGAGAGCAATAGAGCTGGCTAACCATGGACTAAATCCTCTGAAACTGTGAATCAAAAATACATCTTTCCTTTTTAACTTGTTTTTATTAGGTATTTGATCATAATGACAAGTGGGCCAACATATTTAATCAATGTATTGTACATTTTTTTTGTATCTCATTTTCTTTGATTACTTGCTATGTAGTGTATTGGGGAAAAAATGTCAGAAATTATTCTGAAGTCTATGTGAAGGAATTTTTCTCCAGAGAGAATTTTTCTTATTTTTTCTGAAATAAATTTCTACCACTAATCTCAGACTATCTGAAACCAAGCACAAGATTTGAACCTTCTTGGACATCCCAGATTATTATAACATGGCCTGTAATTCTCTATGTGTGCTACTTCACTTGTGGTTCACATTGACATATCCTTGATATTTAGTTCTTTGGGTTCTTAATTTAATCTATCTCTTACTGTACTGCATACATTTATGAGCTCTAAATTTTGATTTGTCTCATCTCTTCTTAAGGGCATCCAAAGAAAAGTTCAAAGTTTTAAGGATTGGAGAGGGCTCTCAGGGAAAAAAACTAAGCTTGTTACACTGTTTAAGTTATTTTTCAGTTTTGATGTCTTGTGTATGTGATGGTTCATCCAAATGATCTAGTTCATCAATATCTAGGGAGAAACTTATCCTGGACTATTATTATATCTTACAGATTCTGCCACTTGTTTAATTATGTTTGGTTTACATCTACATTATCCAATTTCTGATACTATTTGTGTGTAAAGAAAAATTTATATATATATGTGTGTGTGTGTGTGTGT